TTTGGCGGGCCCAGGCTGGGGATTCGAACCCGCCACCTTAGGTGTACATGGCTGGCGCCTTAGCCGGTTGAGCTATAGGCGCCGAGCCACATTTCTTAATTTCTAATAGAAGCATTTATAGCTGAAAAACCCTTGGAGCTTGGTTTCCAGGGTGTCCTCCTATGTTCAGGCACGTTGTGTTTTCATTTCCTTTTGTCTTGTGGTATTTTGTAATCCCCTTGTGATTTATTTGATCCATTGGTTATTTGAATATGCTTAATTTACACATATTGTTAATTTTCTGGCTTTCTTCCTGTTATTTATTTGTGACTTCATCTTGTGGTCAGAGAACATACTTGGTGTGATTTGGGTTTTGTAACATTTACTGACTTGTTCGTGGCCTCAGGTGTGTCCTGGAGTGTGTACTGCATGCACTTGGGAGTGCACATTCTGCTGCTGTGAGGGCAGCACCTAGGGACATGAGGTTGCTGTGCTGTGGTGTCCTCGTCCTTACTAACCGTTTGTCTGGTGGCACTGAAGTCTTACACTGTTATCGTCCAACTATATTTTTCCCTATAATTCTGCCCATTCTCACTTTGTGTATTTTGGGGTCTGTTAGATAAGAAAAATAATGATTTGGGGGGGATAAATTCCTAGGAGTGAAATTATTGGGTCAAAGTGTATGACCCCTGTACAGCCAGACTGACCTCACTGGAGTTGAGTCTCAGGACACTAAACCACACAGTTGGGGGCTGTTGCCTACATACTTGCAAACCCCCAGAGTCTTTGTTACTCTGGTAGGAAAAAAGTTGCTAGATTTTCACTTCTGTGTCAGTTGAGCATTTTCCTGGCTCCATCAGCTGTTGTTTCTTCTTCCTTTATTCTCTGTCTTTCATCTTTGTTTGTGTCTATTTTCTGTCATTCTATGGCATGTAGTTGTGACTGAGTAAGGATAAATTAGTGCTTGTGCAAAATGTTATTTGAATATCAAGTTCTATCTTTTGTGAGATATGCTTTACTCTTCAACCTGGGCCTGGTGCTTATTGTGGCAAAAGGGTTCAGTCTTGGGAGTCAGGCCCGTCTGTCATGTCGTTTCTTGTGTGCACCATCACAGTGGCAGGGGTATTTCGAAGGCCATTCCTCTGTATTTTTCTGTTTTAATGAGAAGCTGTTTAGTTACGAACTAAGTTTATCTATAGACCTGTTTGTTCTTTAAGCAGCCCCTAGTATCTAGAGTCTGAATTCAGAGAAACCTCATCACTGACTCTCTTTCCCACCTCTTGGGGATTAGGCCCTGACTTTTGGCCTTTTCCTCTAAAAATTAGATTCTTTGTTTTATTCTTTCTCCCCAAGATTGACCTGATGCCTCATGACCTCATCACTCAGCTTCTGCGAGTTCTGGCTATCGAGACCAAGCAGGAGAAGGCAATGACCCACGCCGACCCCACTGAGCTCTCTCTGAGCGGCCTGGAGGCCTTCTCCTTTGACTACGTCGTCAAGTGGCCCCTCTCTCTCATCATCAGCAGGTAAGTGGCCAGTCCCATGGAGGCAGTTTCTAGATACTTGGAGAAGGTGACGACTATGCCCCACAGAGGCACAACGGCTTTCCTGGGCCACAGTGCAGACCATTCACGGGGTAGACAGGTGAGTGTTGCCGGCAATGTCAGATGCATCAATGATGGGCCTGTCCCTGAAAGCCCCGCGCCCTTTTGCAGGAAGGCCCTAACTCAGCCCTGACCCTGAGAGCCCCACACCCCTCTACAGGAAGGCCCTGACTCAGCCCTGTCCCTGAGAATCCCGTGCCCCTCTATAGGAAGGCCCTCCCTTGGCCCTATCCCTAAGAGCCCCACTCCCCTTTGCAGGAAGGCCCTCACCCGCTACCAGATGCTGTTCAGGCACATGTTCTACTGCAAGCACGTGGAGCGACAGCTCTGTAATGTCTGGATCAGCAACAAAGCTGCCAAGCAGCATTCGCTGCACTCTGCAAAATGGTATGTGCTTCCCTTGCCAAGTGGGATGGTCTTACTTTTTATTTACTTATTTATTTTTGAGACAGTCTTAATATGTCGCCCTCAGCAGAGTGCGGTGGTATCAAAGCTCACAACAACCTCAAACTCTTGAGCTCAAGCAGTTCCCTTGCCTCAGCCTCCCAAGTAGCTGGGACTACAGGGGCCGGCCACAACACCCAGCTATTTTGGTTTTTTTCATTGTTGTTTAGCAGGCCTGGGCTGGGTTGGAACCCACCAGCCCCCATGCATGTGGCTGGCACCGCACCCACTGAGCTACAAGTGCTGAGCCTGGTCTTGCTTTTTAAAAATGCATGTTTATGGTTTTTAGATGCATGATGCATCAGTTTTTATGTCTCAAGGCAGCATGATGCCCCTATCCGCCACACAGGGGCCCCAGCTGTCCCTTAGCCCTCTCTGTAGCTTATAGTGATGGTGCACCCCTAGAGGCCAGGGGTGTCTGCAGGACACAGCCCCTCCTCATAAGCACACAGAGCCTCAGCATGCAACAGCTGCTCCACATACCCCACAGGTGCACTGCATACCGGTCTGTGGCACCAGGTGGTATTTGAAAGAAGGGCTGACGACAAGACTTATCTCAGTAGCAAAGTACAAAATGTGAACTTGCCATGTGGTGTCGTGCCAGTCTCCTTGGTTGGGCTGGTTAGTGACGTGCTCTCAGATAGTACAGGGAGACAGAGGCAGTGAGTCGTGTTGGGAGGATGGTCACCTGATGCTGTCAGAGCTGAGCTGCTGCCCCCAGCCACACTGACGATGCCTCTTGGTGGGCTTGCTCTTGCCTGTGTCTAAGCCACTGTTGAGCTGCAAGAGCAGCAGTCCTGACACCCCTGTGCTCAGAGGAGACGCGTGCACCCCAGAGGCACCTGCTGTACCCCACTGTCTCCACTGAGGTCTTGGCCTGGCATCACCTTCTCTGTGGCTGTCGTTTGTGTCCCCAGGTTTGCTGGGGCCTTCACACTGCGGCAGAGAATGCTCAACTTCGTCCAGAATATTCAGTACTACATGATGTTTGAGGTGATGGAACCGACCTGGCACATCCTCGAGAAAAACTTGAAATCTGTGAGTCTGAGCGCGATAGCTCATAGCATGTAAAAGGCGGGGTATGTTTCAAAGTGGCCTTTCGAGCAAAATGTTCTGGTTCAGTTTGAGGAGAGCTGCAGTGACCCCTCACCAACTCCACGCCTTCTCTGCAGAGAGAAGTGACGCAGCTCTTCGAAGAAATGTCCCTGTGTGCCAACAGTCCTTTTTCCTATAGCACAGGCGAGACAACAGCCAGGGTGGGGGTGTCCATCAGCCACATCATTGGAATCGGCTGCCCAGCCCCATAAGGGCTATAGCCAGAATCTTAGTAGCCACCAAATTCCAGAAGCAAACAATACCAAGTACTAGTATTTACTTTCTCTTTTCTGTCTTTAAGAACTAAAAATTTGGCTCGGCGCTTGCGGCTCAAGCAGCTGAGGCACCAGCCACATACACCTGAGCTGGCGGGTTTGAATCCAGCCTGGGCCCGCCAAACAATAATAACGGCTGCAACCAAAAAATAGCCGGGCGTTGTGGCGGGCGTCTATAGTCCCAGCTACTTGAGAGGTGAAGGCAGGAGACTCACTTGAGCCCAGGAGTTGGGAGGTCACTGTGATTTATGATGCCATGGCACTCTACCCCAGGGGTGACAGCTTGAGGCTCTGCCTCAAAAAAAAAAAAGAACTAAAAATTTGGGATGGATGGGCAGTGCCTATGGCTCAGTGGGTAGAGCACTGGCCCCATATACCCAGTCTGAGCTTGCTAAATAACAATGACAACTACAACAAACTGTAGTCGGGCATTGTGGCAGGCACCTATAGTCCCAGCTACTTGGGAGACTGAGGCAAGAGAATCACACCCAAGTTTGAGGTTGCTGTGAGCTATGACACCACGGCACTCTACCAAGGGCAACATAGTGAGAGTCTGTTTCAAAACAAAAAAACTAAAAACGTAGAACTTTGGGGAAGGGGTTAGTGTTCTTTTAGTGGTATTTTTAGGTATTCCCCTAAATGACCAGAGGCCATTCATTTACATGGAACCGTGTACACAGAAGCTTACAAAAGCAAAACTGAGTGCCACACACAGAGTGCATCTTCTGAGAGAAGGCTCTGCGCATGGAGAGTCCCGGCTTTTTCCTTGCAGGCTTCCAACATTGACGACGTCCTTGGCCACCACACAAGCTTCCTGGACAACTGCCTGAAGGATTGCATGCTGACCAACCCCGAGCTGCTGAAGGTTTTCTCCAAGCTTATGTCTGTGTGCGTCATGTTCACCAATTGCATGCAGGTGAGGGCAAGTGTGGGCAGGTGCAACAGATGAGGGCAGGTATAGGCAAGTGTGGGCACCCAGGCCAAGGCTGCAGCATCCCTGTCCCACGCCTTCTCCTGCCCTTGCTTTCTGTCAAGCCCATTGTTACCTGAGTGTTTCTAGAACTCCTAGGTCTTCCGGACCTGGTGGTCCCTTCATTGAACCCCTACCCTGGGAAATGTGGCCAGTGATACCTTGCCCTGTGATATTCCCCTGCACTGTCCCCAAACCACAGGGCTCAAGTTGGTGGTGCTGGGCCCTTCCCAGCAACCTCATTTTCTTTCCTCTGGGGCTGGAGCTCCTCAGCTCAGTTAAGTCTGGACACTTGTTACAAGTAGTCACCCTGAAACGATGGCATAGAAAACGAAGGTCCAGTGGAGAAGGGCTGGCCTAGGGGTGACTAGAACTACAGGCAGTGCCATTGGGGGGTTGGGACAAGGGCCAGCGGAAGAGGTAGGGGAGGTAACAGAGGAGGCAGGTGCTGTAGAAGTTAGTTGATGGCTGTGTAAGGTTGATCTTTGGCTAAGGCAACCAGATTTTAACATTGGTAAAATGCGACACCATTGACCGGGGGTGGGGGGAATCTTAATTAAAAATTTGGTCTATATGGAGCAACAAAAATTTTCATGGAATGCAAAAATAGTATTGTATTTTTTTTAATTTCAATATAAGTACAATTTACAAATATAATACATTTTTTAAAATTATGTATAGAATTATTTTATTCTTTGGCATATTTCTTGTCGAATTCTAACAATTGATCAACAATGCGAACTTTGATAAGCAGTTCTCGATAATCAGTTCTCAACAATTATTTGTTATTATTGAAGTTTAACATTATAAAATTAACAAAAATACTATAAAACTCATATCCTGGCAAAATAGCCACATGGCAGCCGAAAATCATATATTCCCTTCCCATTCTCCTGCCTAGCTTGTCGTGCATTCTTTCCAAAAATTGGGACAAGTTCCCTAGCTTGTCATGCATTCTTTCCAAAAATCAGGACTTTTTAAAGGGATGCACAACAAATTGTTAAAAATTGGGACTATCCCTCCAAAAGTGGGATATCTGGTCACCTTATCTTTGGCGCAACTAAGGTCATTTCACCAGTAGCCTCTGGGGAGAGGCTTTCAGGTCCCTCGCACTATAGAGACAGCATCCATTTGCGGTGGGCAGTGTGCACCTGCAGGGACTTGAGTATTTTCTGCATGCTGGTGGCAACTAACAGAAGCACTTCTGCCCAACCTCCAACCCCTAGAAATTTACACAGAGTATGAAATTAGACAGCGAGCTGGGCCGGCCAGCGGTGGAGCAGGGCACAATGCTGGGGCCGCCTACGGAGGCAGAGCAGCCTGAGGAACGGGCCCGGAAGGAGCTTACCAGGAAGGTCTGTGGCCTCAGGCTCCACCAGAGAGAGCCTCTTTCTCTTGGTTGCATGTAATGGTGTTAACGTTTCAGAACTTCTGAGAACAAACCTGCTGCTCTTTTATTTCTGTGTCCCCTTCGACTGAAAAAGTAGACTTAAAAGTAGGTTCCAAACAACTGTAAGAATCTCCCTTCTCCACTCTCTGGTCCTAATGTAAGCCTGCTAGGCTCCAGGGTGTGGCAGTGGGGGGATCCGAGCCTGGAACCCTGCTGGCAGGGGCACTTTCCTGGAGTGTCTCCGAATGCCACAGTCTCAGGAATGTCTTGTGGAATCTACCGTTTGAGAAGAAAGGAAGGAAAAACTCTTCTGTTTGGCAGCAGTACAAGGAGGGATAGGTGGGCCTGTTGTGGGCAGGCACCACCTCACCCACTGCTGGCTCCATTTCCAGCACCTAGCTGAGCACATGGATGCACCCCAGCTGGCGTCCAGCTTTGAGGCCACCATCAACAAGTTTGACAAGAACTTCTCCGCACACCTGCTGGACCTCCTGGCCCGGTTGAGCATCTACAGTGCCAGTGACTGTGAGCACAGCATGGCCAGTGTTATCTCTAGGTGGGTGTGGCAGCACCTCCCATCCCATCCTCACTCCTTGAGTTCTGCCCTGCCCTTACCCCCTTTCTTTGTCCAGCTGTACTGTCCCCCATCCCAAATCCCCTATTCCTTGGGTGTGGCCCCAGATGGAACCTCAGACTACAGTAGAGCAGTCTGCCTGAGCCAAGCAGATCAGGCTTTTGTCTCCTACCATTGCAGATTCCTGGAGACTGGGGGTGAGGGTGCTGGCTAGTGCCCTCCCCAGCCATGACATGCTGCTTACCAGGCTGCCAAGTGATCTGGGGCTCCCTCCTATCAGCACCCCCACGTTATGCCTGTTCTGTGGGGCAGGAGCTTCTCAGGGGAGGTGGTGGATTTTACTTACCACTCAGGGTGGGATAAGGAAGGGGCTGTCCTCATGCTGGCTTGGGGACAGTACCCCACAGACTGATCTGAGTGGGGTTTCCAAGGGTTCTCTCAACTTTGAGAACCACTGCTGGGTGGCCTGGAGACTGGTATCCAAGGGCTACAGCAAAGTCTGTCCATGTCCAATGGCTGTGCTTAACTGGGATGTTTCTGTTAAGACATGAATTTTTTTTCTTTTTTTTTTTGGCTGGGGCTGGGTTTGAACCTGCCACCTCTGGTATATGGGGCCACTGCCCTACCCTTTTGAGCCACAGGCGCCGCCCCAAGACATGAATTATTAACAGAAGCTTTGGTCATCAGCCTTTAGTTTTTTTTGTGTCTTTTAAGTTCCTCTTTCGATGCTGCTTTGAAGCAGTGATGGTCATGTGGAACAGGAGCCCAGAGCAAGTGCCCCTCTGCCCCACATACTCCTGAGGCCTGGATGTGGCTTTGCTGTGGCCCTGTTGTTGGTCCTCGCTGCGTGGTGGGGAGGGCACCCGGTACTATCACCTTTGGAAGCATCTCCTCAGATGGGACCCACCACCTTCCTTCCCTGCAGGCTTGACTTCAATGGCTTCTACACAGAGCGCCTGCAGCGCCTGTCTACAGAGAGGAGCCAGAGGGCTGCCCCCCAGGTGCCTGTCCCACGAGGGCCTCCAGCTGCAGTGCCCAGAGTTGCAGTCACTGCACAGTGAGCCCTCGGCCACAGCTCAAAGGGAGGGTGTCGGGGGCTGAGCAGGTCCTATGGCGTGAATGAGGTCAGGATTTTCTAGTCAGGTATTCCCTAACAGGTGTGTTCTGTGTGTTTTTTCTGTTCAATCAAAGTCTAAATTACCAGACTTGGCTCGTTTCATTGTATAGGAGCTGCCCAGACAAGGTAGATGGCTCCCTAGACTTGCTGATGTGTTTGCTTTTTCAAACTGAAATAACACTGTTTTGGGTGTTCTTGCCTTAAATAAAAACAAAGCATGTGGTATTTGAAGAAGAAGCATGGTAACTACAAAAGCGCCGTGGGGTGAGACTGGAGCTGGTGTCCACATCCCACCCCAGTGAGCTTGGGCTGGCCACCGTGGGTCAACTGGACTCAGCAGTCTGGAAACTTGCTGGGACTCCAAAGCCCCAGGGCTTGGTCCCCAGTGGGAGGCAGCAGCTACTCCAGCTGTGACTCAGTGACTTGAAGAGATCTAGTCCCTTGTACAGCTTGGTCAAGGCAGGCCACAGAGTCCCTGGCACTGGACCAGCTCCACATGACCTCCATAGGCTGGCTGTATCCTGAAGAGTGGCCTTGACACTGCCCTAGCTTCCTGGCCCAAATGGCAGCTGGGCACTGACTTGTCACACAGAAGTTACTCAGCAGCTGCTGGTCAGCCCCACCCTCTTCCTGCCTTCCCCAAGTGGACAGCACAGCCAGCCCTGGGTGGGCTCTCCTGGCTGTCAAGTCCAGTCTTAAACAAGTGATCTGGGCCCAAATAGACAAGTCCCCTTCAACAAGCCTTCTTAACCAGGGAGCATGGCAGGGCTGGGGGTCAGGTCCCTGACCATCTAGCTTCCTCTAACAGTCTGCAGCATGAAGAGGCTTGGCGTGTAAGCGGCACATTTATCCGCAGTCCAGATGCCATCATCCCCACATCTGTCAGCTGTAGAATGCTGCATGGGTCTACCCTCTGCCTGACCTGCTTGACCTCCACCTCCAGGGCCACACTGTCTGCCCTACCCTCCACTAGGGGACACAGCCACCCTTCTTATAGGAGGGCAGCCTTGGTGAGGAGCCAGGGCCTACTGGGCATGTGGCTACTAAGGGCAGGTGCCAGGAGTCTTGGGACGTGGAGAGGCTGGGCCAGCCAGGCCTCTAAAGGGCATGCAGGCTTTTGCACTGGTACCAGACAGCCCCAAGCTTCAGGGCAGGGAGGCAGGATGGGGAGTGTCAACTGGTGTCTATATCCAGCTGCTAGGGTGGCTTCCACACCCACCAGTCACCTGGGTTGTGTCCTGGGCTCCCACAGCTGACCTGTGCCCATGAAACCATTTCTTGTCCCTGTTTGGAGTTTTCTGTTCCCAGGGAAGCCAGAGGCCCCACCTCCTGACCCCACCAGCCTTTCACAGTCACCTGCCCCCCACCCCCACCCCACTGGCCTACTGCCTCCCTTCCAGCTGGATGGGCTACACTTCGCTGGGGGTTTCCTCACCTGCACGGAGAAATGCAGAGTTATATGCAGCAGTCGTGGTTGGCCTATTTGCCTCCTCGTCACCCCCGTTAACTTGATTTCCACTTAGGAAGGTTTTTCCACGTGCTGGACATGGAGGACACTGTCCCAGAGTCTACAAAGGACAAAGGAGATTCAGGAGGCTAGGGAGGGGGAAGCTCCCTCAGGGCAGTTGGCTCGGGCCTGATGCACAGGAGGGGCGGGGTGGGGCGGGGCAGTCTGCTGTGGGGAGAGGCGCCTGGGGCAGCCCCAGGGACCAGATTGTGTCCTGCTTCAGCTCTCACACACCGTTGCTCAGCACTGTCATGCCCATCCTGGAACTCTGGCTGCTCCAGGCATTCTGGCTGCAGGGTGAGTGACCCCAGGGAAGGGGTTCACAGGGGCCACTGACCTAAGTGTGGGGCACGTGGATCTCAAAACAGGGTTGAGTGTTGGCCTGATCACCTGGCCTCACTGCACACTCTACCCTACACTCTGGCCCTGCTCCAGGGTGGTCCTTGGGAAAGGTCGTCACTTAGTGGGTAGGCCAAGGCTGGGGAGCAGGGGAAACTTTAAAGGGAACTGTAGACGGGAAGTATGGCCCAGGGCATCCTTTGAGCTCATTGTTGAGTGCTAAGGGGGTTCTACCAGTGTCCTGGGATCCTGGATCTATCTCTGGGGCTCAGGGGGCTCCCCACAGGTACCCCTAGCCAAAACAAGAAGGGAGGACCAAGCAGTTGCTTGGAACTCCCCTGCCCCCAGCTGGAAGGCTGGCTCTTCCAGCTCTCTCACTGCCTGTGGTCAGAAAGAGGGGCCATTGGTGCTTTGAGGCAGGTAGTCTCTAGAACTCTGGACCTGCCCCTGCAGGCCCAGTGCTTGCCCTCTGTTATTGAGTACAGGGGCCTTGCTATCTTGGGGAGGCCCTACTCTTCCCAGTTGTGAGCTGAGAAGGTGTCAGCGCCAAGTGCCACATGCAGGAAGAACCTGCCTGGCCTGTGTATGTCCAACCTGGGGTCTGGGAATAGCCTAGGAGGCGGTCTGTGGACAGGCTGGCCCAGCTCTACCTGGCCAGCTGGTGTGGGGGTCCAATGGTCTTTTGGGAGACCTGGCCATGGAGGCCAAATCTCTAAACTGCTGGCAACTCCCCAGAATCTGGGCCCCAAGGCCACCTACGCAGCCCACTTAATGAAACCTGACCCCCTACCCCTGCAGCCTTTACCCTAGGCTGCCCCCTGCCCCACATGGAGCGGTTTGAGGTGGTGCTGCCCCAGCGCCTGCCAGGACCCCGTGCCCGCCGAGACCTATCTTCCCACTTGGTAAGTCTGAGCTGCCCAGATAGGGGGCTGGGGGTATACCTCAACTTCCCTTTTCTGCTTTCCAGGCAGTTGTGAGGGGCCTGGTGAGTGAGCAGCTGCGCTGCCCTGCACAGCCCTGAGCTTGAGAGTAGACCCTAAGGGGCTCCAAGCCCACTTGGCCCTTTTTCTGTTTTGGGGGGGCTGGGGGGCCTCACCCTACAGGCAGGGGGGCAGTGTGGGGGTGAGGAGGGCTTTCCTTCCCAGCTCCCAACCTCAGGCCACTCCCTAGTTTCACTTGGTGGGGGCTGAGAAGCTAGTTCCTCTCTGAGTGGGGAATAGCTCACCGCAGGTTGACACACTTTCCTGGGCGTGTAAGCTTGGCGGGATTCCCCCGGGGGGTGGGGAGCACGACCTGCTGGATGCACACATGTATGTGGTGTATGCATGCACGTGTTGTATGCAAAGAAGGTTGCTTGTTTTTTTCTGGGTGTCCAGGGTGCTCTTCTGCAGGCCCAGACCCACCTCCTGCCTGGGCTTGCATCTCCCTAGTGGTCAGGGCACACTGTCTAGAAGGACCCTCGAGTTCTTGCCTACATGGTGCTGGGCCCAGGGGCAGGATGGCTGGTGCTGGGGGCCCATGTGCCCCCATCCTGCCCCACCTCCTGTGCTGCCCTGGCTTCAATGGCTGCCTGGCTGTCCACTCTGTGCCCCTGCTTCCTGCAGGAAGGGGCCTCTTCATTGTTACCCTTGTGTGGATAGATGGGGGAACTGAGGCCTGGAGGGCTAAGGAGTCCACTGTACTTCCAGCCCCCACCAAGGGAGGGATTCAGCCCATCCCTCCAGTGCACTCCCCCTGCTCTGCCCTGCCTGAGAATGCTGGGACCCCAGGGGGCCTGAAGGCTGGCACTATCCCACTGAGCTCTGCTCCAAGTGAGGCAGGGGCAGGCCCTCATCCTACACCTACCCCTGGCTCAGGGCTTGTACCCGGAGACTGTGAGCTACGTGCTGGGTGCCCAAGGCCAGAGCTTTACCTTGCACTTACGGAAGAACAGGTGAGCATGAGCTTGGTCCCTGCTGGTCCCACCCACCCAGCCTGGCAGTGCCCACTCTGCTGCCCAGGGCACCCTGCAGGCTGCAGCCCTCCCAGCAGGATGAGGCTGAGGGTGCTGGTGGTTCTTCTTCAGGGACCTTCTAGGCACCAGCTATGCTGAGACCTACAGCAACAATGGCTCCGAGGTGACAGAGCAGCTGTACCTGCAGGTACCAGGGCAGCCCCCAGGCCTCAGGGGTGAGGAGGACATGTGAGGTAGGGCCTAGGGACTCCTCTCCTGCTTCTCCCACAGGAGCACTGCTTCTACCAGGGTCACGTGGAGGGGCATCCAAGCTCGGCCGCCAGCCTCAGCACCTGTGCTGGCCTCAGGTGGGTGCTGCAGACACTTGTAGGCCCCACAGTCCCCTGCTCTGCAGAGCAGCCAGGAGGGCTCAGGCCAGAGGCAGACACAGCCTCTGCTCACCCTTGAGCCTTGGAGATATGCAGAGGTGTCTGGCCAGGGTTCCTGCCAGGGCCACAAGGGGCCTGCCTGGTATACCCACCTGCACCCACAGGGGGACACTCCTGCTAAGCAGTTGCTAATTGCAGGATGAGAGGAGGGGTGGGCACCAGACTAGAGCCTACTCCCTTCTAGGCAGAAGACAGGCTGACTCAAAGGCTATTGTCCACTCAGGGGCTTCTTTGAGGCAGGCTCAGCCGTCCACCTGATTGAGCCCCTGGACGGGGCTGAAGAGGCCGGGCCACACGCCCTATACCTGGCTGAGCATCTGCAGCAGGAATCTGGGACCTGTGGGGTCAGTGACACCAGTCTCGACCACCTCTTGGGGCCTCGAGTCTCTGCAGCCTTCAGGCCTTGGCCCCAGGTGAGTCCCCCACTGTTCACGTGGTGGGCCGGTATGTACCATAGACCCTGTCACCTGTGCAGCCAGTGTGCTGCTCCTATGTGCAGCCTGAGACTGTGGGTAGGAGAGGCAGGGGGCCAGATGGTCCAGCCAAGCCCCGCAGCCACAATAGCTTCTGCCATGTACAGCAGGTCCTGAGGGGTGGTTTGGGCCCTGTGCCCACGAGGCTGAGCTGGATAACAGGCTTTTTGTCACTCTTCCCCAGAATGGGCTGCTCTCCCGAGAGACCCGTTTCGTGGAACTGTATGTGGTCACAGACAGCGCAGAGGTGGGTGTGGGTAGGGGAGTGGCAGGGTGAGTGGAGGGTAGGGGAGTGGGTAGGAGTGGTAGCAGGGGTGGGAGGAAGGTGGGGCAGGGGAGTGGCAGGGCGAGTGGAGGGTAGGGGAGTGGGTAGGAGTGGAGGCAAGGGAGGAATGGAGTGTGGGGCAGGGAGCGTGCAGGACAGATGCAAGGGGTAGGCTGGTGTAAGGGTGCAAGGGGCATGCCTGAGGGTCTCTTGCCCCCAGTTCCAGAAGCTGGGGAGCAGAGACGCCGTGCGCAGGCGGGTCCTGGAGGTGGTGAACCACGTGGACAAGGTGGGCTGTGGACAAGAGGAAGGCGTCCAGGAGGGCAGCACCTAGCCCACTAGGAGGCCTGGGGAGCAGGAGTGGCCCCAGGGGGCAGACAGCATCATTGGGAAGGTCTTTCCCCTGCTCAGCTATGGCTCTTCCCTGGCCCCCACCTCAAAGTAGGTCAGGTGTGGCCTCCCATGGCCTGACCTGTGGAACTCATCTACCCCTATAGCTTTATCAGAAACTCAACTTCCGTGTGGTCCTTGTGGGCCTGGAGATCTGGAACAATGGGGACAAGTTCCAAGTCAGCCCCAACCCCGAGGTCACGCTGGAGAATTTCCTCACCTGGCGGGTGCAGGACCTGGCAGGCCGGCACCCCCATGACAATGTACAGCTCATCACGTAAGGGGCCCCCAGGCAGAGTGGGGCAGGCAGGGCCAGCAGGAAACATATTCCAGGCACCCACCTTGCTCTTACTTCCAGGGGTGTCGACTTCACTGGGACCACTGTGGGCCTGGCCAAGGTGTCTGCCATGTGCTCCCACCAATCAGGGGCTGTGAACCAGGTAGGAGCTGCCTGAGCCCAGGTTTCTGGAACACATCTGAGGGCCTCTCCTACTTTTTTTTTTTTGAGACAAGCTGTCACCCTGGGTAGAGTGCTATGGAGCCACAGCTCACAGCAACCTCAAACTCCTGGGCTTAAGCAATTCTCTTGCCTCAGCCTCCCAAGTAGCTGGGACGACAGGTGCCCACCACAACGCCTGGCTATTTTGTTGTTGTGGTTGTCATTGTTGATTTAACTGGCCCAGCTGGGTTTGAACACTCAGTGTATGTAGCTGGTGCCCTACTAATTTTAAGAGTGATATTGGCATGCCTGTAATCCTAGCACTTTGGGAGGCCAAGGTGGGCAGGTCATTTGAGCTCATGAGTTCAAGACCAGCCTGAGCTAGAGTGAAACTCCCATCTCTAAAAGCCGGTGTTGTGGCAGGCGCCTATAGTCCCAGCTACTCATGAGGTTGAGGCAAGAGAATTGCTTGAGCCCAAGAGCTAGAGGTTGCTATGAGCTGTGACGACAGGGCACTCTACCAGGGGTAACAAAGTAAGATTCTGTCTCCAAAAAAAAAAAAATATATTGGCAGGAAGCTGTACCAAGCCCTTGACACTGCAGAGGGTGGCAGGTTTGGGGGGATGGCCAAGAGGTATCTTTGGCAAGCACAGCCTCTCCATGCAGGATCACAGCCAGAACCCTGTGGGTGTGGCCTCCACCATGGCCCACGAGATGGGTCACAACCTGGGCATGGACCACGATGAGAATGTCCAGGGCTGCTACTGCCCTGTGCCCCGGACGGGTGGTGGCTGCATCATGGCGGCCAGCATTGGGTGAGGCATGTGGGGTTCAAGGGATGGGAGGAGCTGGCACAGGCCAGGCACTAACAGACACTCTCCCACAGCTCCTCCTTTCCCCAGACATTCAGTCACTGCAGCCAGGCTGACCTAGAGACATTTGTGGAGAAGCCACACACAGCCTGCCTGGCCAACACCCCTGACCTGGATCGGCTGGTGGGCGGCCCTATGTGTGGGAACCGGTTTGTGGAGCACGGGGAGCAATGTGACTGCGGCCCCCCCCAGGTGTGCCCATGGCCCCCATCTGAGCCTGCAGCTGGCCTGTCCTCCCGTCAGTGGGTGGAGAGCAGCCTTAGTCCCTATAACCAGGGCCACCACCCACATGTAGCCCTCAGGGCCCTGCAGGCGTCAGAAGACGTACCAGGGTGGCCAAGGATAGTGGTGGGTCCACTGCAACCTGCTCAGGGCTTGATGTTGCCCCCAGGACTGTCACAACCACTGCTGCAATGCCACTACCTGCCAGCTGGCCAAGGGGGCCGAGTGTGCCGAGGGCGCCTGCTGCCATGAGTGCAGGGTGAGCATGGCTCTCCTGGGTCCCATGGGAGCCCAAGGCTGGTAGGTGGACAGGGCCCAGGACACCAGTGACCAGGCAGCTTGTTGGACCTGGCCCCTCTATGAGCTACTCTCCACTGGAACAGGTTAAGCCAGCTGCTGAGCCCTGCCGCCCCCAGAAGGATGAGTGTGACCTTGAAGAGTTCTGTGATGGCCGGCAGCCCACATGCCCAGAAGATGCCTTCCAAGAGAACGGCACGCCCTGCCAGGGGGGCTACTGCTACAACGGCAGCTGCCCCACCCTGGTCCAGCGATGCCAGGACTTTTGGGGGTTTGGTGAGTCGGTCTGGCCTGGTTTGGCCTGGTGGGAAGGCTGCAGCCCTGCCCCAGCTGACCACTCCTGGTTGGCAGGTGCACGGGCTGCCGCAGAGACCTGCTTCTCCTACAGTGTCTTAGCAGGATGCAGGTTGCAGGGCCCCCTTGGCATGGAGAGGTGAGTGTCTGAGGGCGGATTCCTTGGGCCTGAGGCACAGACATCTCCACAGATGGGATTGGCCCCAGGTGTGCTCCTCACAAGGGAGTCTGGCTCTTCAGAGGCAAGAGGCACTCTGGTGGTCTGGCCAGAGTCCCCACTGGGAGGGTGGGTGGTCACTGCCAACCAGCCCCTGGTCTGCCCCATCCACAGGGTCAAGTGTGGTGTCTTGCTCTGTGAAGGGGGGCGGCAGCCCCTGGAGCGAAGCACCTGTACCTTCAACCCCTCCTCAGCTGTGTGCCAAGCTCTTGCCACTGACAACGGTGCCGCCTATGAAATGGTGCCTGAGGGCACCAAGTGTGGCCAGGAGAAGGTGAGTGAGTGCAAGTGGTACACAGTGCTCAGAGAGGCTGTACTGCCGGGCTGGTCCCACATGGCCCCTTTACGGGCTTCTCTCCCAGCCTTTGGTCCTTTCTGCATGACTCTAGTAGGAACTCTGGAGGCCGATGGGGTGTGTAGGAAAGATGCTCTCAGACTGAGGACCCAGAGCCCCAGACGGGCAGCCAGACCAGTGGCTGTCCCAGCAGAGGCACCACCTGAGACCCCCTCCTGCCCTCCAGGTTTGCTGGGAAGGACGCTGCCAAGACCTCCAAGTTTATAGATCCAGAAACTGCTCGGCTCAGTGCCATGGCCATGGGGTACGAGTAGTTCATAGCACAGCCCCCTGTCTGCCACCCCAAGACACGGCTATGGTTGCTGCTCTGCATATGGGAGCCCCAGGCTTGGATGAGCCCACCATGTCTGCCAGTGGGGGTCTCAGGAGAGCCCATTTTGGGAAAGAGGGTAGGCCCAGGTGACCTCAGTGACTGCATAAGTGCTGAGTGGGCACTTGTGGGCAGTGGGTAGAAGTCACCCAGCAAAGCCTCATGGTCAGGACACACACCGGCACCAGGGGCATCGGGGGCCCTTAGAGGAATGGGGCTGGTACAGGGGCCCTGGTTTGTGGGTACTCCCTACCAGAGGCCCCTGCCCTGAACCTGGCCATCCTCCAGGTGTGCAACCACAAGAAGGAGTGTCACTGTCACCGGGGCTGGGCTCCACCCTTCTGCACAGAGCTGCTGAGGGATGTGCAGGCAGGTAGGGCCCAGATGCCTCATGGCCTCCACACCCAATAGGGGGCAGGGCTCCATCTCAGACTGTGTGCTGGGACAGTCTGGGACAAAAGGGGTGGTACCAACCCTGAGCCTCAGCCTTTGCAGGTCTGTGCAGGTCCCAAGTAGGGCCAGAAAGGAGACTGTCCCCCTTCCTCAGGGTACCTAAGAAGGGAGCCCTGTTCTAGAGAGAGGTTCAGGGGCAATGACCAGGGCAGTGCCTGGTCCAGACCCGAGACTCCGGGGGTCTCAGCCCAGGTCCTACAGCCCCGCCTCTACCTGAGGACCCCAGACTACCACCCCACAGTGTCTTCTTCCCCTATGGCCACAGGTGAGCCTCTGTCCACAGCACCAGGTCTAACCCATGGCACTTTAGGCCTGGAGCCACTCACTGCCAAACCCTCTGATCTCTCCCCACAGAGCAGAGAGTGCTAGTGCAGTACTAAGTCCCTGCCTAGGGACCACAACCCCTGGGGATCCAGAGTGCCACTCTGCCCCAGTTGACATGTAACCATATGTCCCTCAGCATCTGGGAGCCTCCTTGTCAGCGTGCTGGTGGCTTTTGGGGTCCTGGTGTTCGTGGCAGTCATCCTAACAGTTCTTATCATCTACTGTAAGGCCCGGAGCCATGTCCAGAAGAGGTGAGCACACATGGGGTTGCGACATGTTGGTGTGGCGGGCACTTCCTGTGCCCAGCTCTTAGCAAGCAGCCTCAACTGCTGGCTGTTTGAGGAAGAGACACTTCCCAGCACTTTCCAGAGCAGGCCACTGTGGAAGGACCTGGGCACCCAGCAGGTTGCCACTCCCAAGTTCCCTAGACCACCATACCAGGCAGACCTTGGCTGAGCTCTCAGAGGGGACTGGGCTCCACTCAGTAGGGTGTTGCTCCAGCCACTGCATCTCTGAGAGGCTGGGACAGGTCCTAGGCTTGGTGGCCAATTGGGGGTGTGGTAAATCCAGGGAGCCACCACCCAACATCCCTCAGTCGGCCCTCTCTGTACCCTCTGGGTCCTGTTGTGCCTGAGGTAGGCGATCCCATTTGAGCCCTGCTCTGTGGAGACCTCAACCCTGTCTGGGCCACAGTGGACACATCAGCCCTGGGGCCTCCCACCTTAAACCTGGGCCCTGAGACATGGGGGGGCCACTGCCTGCTTGGGGGCCACTCTGTCCCCTGGGCTTGCTTCTCTCTGGGGCTGTGATATACACCTTGCAGCTGTCCAGGAGTCTGCTGGCACTGAGGGATCCCAACCAGACCCAGGGTTCAGCGCTGGGGATCCTGAGGCTGGGAACCCACCTGTGCTAACTCATCCTATGCTTCTTCCCCAGGGACAAGGCCCCCAAGACCGCCTCAGGGCTTTTCAACCCTCTGTTCCGTGAGGGTGCAGGCAGCAAACCAGCCCCAGGCAGGGCCCCAGCACCCATGCAGGGCCCCTCAGTGCCAGTCCCCAGGGCCCCCACCTCCTGCCCCAGCCAGTCCCCCAGGCCTAAGGTGTCCTTGATGACCCCAAAGAGGAAGCCATCCCCTGCTGTGAGTACTTTTGTGTGTGTTGTGTATGTGTTTGTTTTTTGCTTCCCCCTAGGTGGTCATGGGGCAGAAAGGGGGCTTCCAGACCCCATCTCCTGTCCTGGGTATTGCTCACCAGGACTGGCAAAGCCCTTTTGTGTAAACTAATTCACTGTCATGTGGTGGCCCTGGGATAGAGAGCAGCTGCTGCAATGACCCCTTGCAATGAGGGAAAACTGAGGCTTAAAGCTGGACTGTTGGAGGACCTGCACAAATGACAATGGAGTTGGCGTTTGAACTTGAACTTATGACTTTGAGGCCAACGAAGGTCATTCTCAGCCTCAATAGGGTCCATGTAAGGATGATTTTGAGGTGCAGGCTCCCTCTGCTCCCCAGAAGCTGGGGGTGCATCTGTCTGTCCCTACAGCCACAGGAAAGGATGGCCATGGGAAAGGATGGAGATGGGGCCCAGCTGGGGTGGCCTGAGCACACAGAGCTCCCTCCTCTGTGCAGTGCCTGGGGGCATGGGTAGGGGCTCAGCTCTTGGCCCTGTCCCTGCAGCTTCCCTCATCTGTGTCCAGCCCACCCTTCCCATTTCCTGTCTACACCCAGCAGTCTCCAGAGCAGGTAAGCAGGGAGTGGGGCATCCAGAGCATCCAGAGGGTGAAGGCACCTTTCTGGGAGGAGGGTCCTGTGTCTGTGGAGGGCACTGCGTGGATGGCAGGAACAGCAAGGGGGCAGCCACTGAGCACAGAGCTGATGGGCCCAGCCTGGTGAAGACCAGACTGACTCTCAGACTCTGGGAGGTCTCTCTGGCAAGACACAGTCCCAGTCATGCAGGACCTGGGGGTATTTTGTGGGGTCCTGATTCCTCCTCCTCCTCCTTAGCTCAGACCTGCTGCATCCTCCAAGCCCTTCCTAGAGCTCAAGCCAAAGCAGGTAAGGGGGTTCAGCTGGTGGTGGGAGGACTAGACAGCACCAGACTGGCTCTGGCCTTGGGCATGGGCGATTTGAGGGTGTGAAAAGGTCTCTCAGATGTGACTCACTGGGGCCCTGGCAGAGTGAGGTGAATTCCAGAGTCCCACTGTTAGCCTTCTCACAGTGCTGGGGTTCTGTCCCCGAGCTTGGACTCCCTGCACTCTGGCTGATCCTAGAGTCTCCCTTCTTGGCCAATTATAAGTCTGACTTGTGTGGGCCCTGGAAGCACAGCCTCGGCCTCAGGCCTGGAGAGCTACCCTGGGGCACAATGAGGAGGGGGCTGAGGCCACACTGGGGCCCAGGAAAGACCAGGATTTCTCTCAGTGCTAATGGGAGATCTGTGGGTTAGCATACCCTTCTGCAATAGAGGTTTGTCAGATTTGTTCCAAGGACTGGGGTATGCAAGGAAGATCCAGGAAGAGATGGCCTGGAGGGCTATTTTAGATTTACAGACCCAGCCTCTTCCCAGTTGGTGCTGCGAGTCTCCATGAAGCTGCTGGCTGGGTGGTGCCTGCTAAGGTTGTGGACTCCAAGATCCTTGTGCTTCTCCCAGGGTCCCTGGGGGCCTTTGCACCACCCCTCAGCTCATGTTCTGGAGAGCTGGGGTTTGTTGGGTTCTATTTGTGAATGGACCAAGGCAGGAATAGAACCCAAGGTGTCTCTCCCAGGGTGTGGCCATGGCAGGAAGCCTGGTGTCCTGTGGTCACTGGCCACGTGGACACCACAGTTGTGTGGTTGTGGTGCTGTCTGTGCAACGTCCCAGTCTTCCTCTGCAGTTAGTAAACACTTCTGAAAGGTGCCTACACACTGAATCCTATTTCTCCTTGAACTCTGACCCACTAGTTTTGGCATCTATTCCTGAATTTTGCTGACAATTGTTACTGTAGTATTTGCATAATTGTGATTTTCTATTTCTCTCTTTCCTTTTTAATTTTTTTTATTTTGAAGTATCAGGCTTTTGGGGCAGCTCCTGTGGCTCAGTGGGTAGAGCACCGGCCCCATATACTGAGGGTAGCGGGTTTAAAACCGGCCCTGGCCAAATTGCAACAAAAAAAAAATAGCCAGGCGTTGTGGCAGACGCCTGTAGTCATAGCTACTTGAGAGGCTGAGGCAAGAGAATCACCTAAGCCCAAGAGTTGGAGGTTGCACTGAGCTGTGTGATACCATGGCACTCTACCGAGGGTGATGAAATGAGACTCTGTGTCTACAAAATATATATATATATATATATATTAGGCTTTCATAAAAGTTGCAAAAATAGCTGGGCACAGTAACTCACACATATAATCCTAGCACCCTTTAAAGCCAAGGCAGGTTGATGGCTTGAGCTCAGGAGTTTGAGACCAGCCTGAGCAACAGCGAGACCTTGTCTCTACTAAAAATAAAAAAACTAGGCTCAGCCCCATGTGGCTCAAGCAGCTAAGGTGTCACATATACCTGGGTTTGAATCCAGCCTCGGCCTGCCAAACAACAATGACAGCTGCAACCAAAAAATAGCCAGACATTGTGGCAGGCGACTGTAGTCCCAGCTACTTGGGAGGCAGAGGCAGAGAATCGCTTGAGCCCAGGATTTGGAGGTTGCTGTGAGCTGTGATGCCACAGCACTCTACCCAGGCTGACAGCTTGAGGCTCTGTCTCAAAAAAAAAAA